GAGGCGGTCCCTTTGTCCATCAGTCCTCCTCGGTGCTGTGCCTCTTCGGGGTATAGTCTGGGGCGGGGAGGGGGTGATAAGTGTCCAAAGACATTTACCTATTTGCTCATCACGGCTGGACCCAGGCCCCAGGAATCTCTCCGTCGCTCGGCCCTGCTTTCTTCCGCGCTGGCTCCTTTTTCGGGCAGGCTCTTCCCTCATGTGGCCGATGTGCCCAGGAGCAGCTCCAGGCGTAGGTCCCAAAGCTCTTCTGTCGAGGTGATTCTCATTAAATGTCCTGGGTCCAGTTTGATGCTCACTTGCCTGGCTTGGGCCATTGGCCAACCTCTGACCCATCACGGGCTGTGGGCTGGAGAGAGGGTGCTGGGCTGTGCTCTGATTAGCCACGGAGAGTCACATGCCCACCTCTGGAGCTGCAGGTGGGGGTCAGCTCCACCCAGGCCGATGGGCTGGGAGTGAGTTGTAGGGGAGGGGAGGGTGGCTCCCCAAAGCAGACTGGGGACGGGAAACAGGGCCTGGCCGGGCTCTGGCGGTGGACAGAGTTGGTCATTGTGCCTGGGCTGGGGCTCATGGGCACGTGGGGACTCAGGGCTGCCCCAGGCCTCAGAAGTCAGGTCCGGCTTCTTGTTGGTGGGGCAGAGGCTGAAGACACCCTCCCCATGTCTCACCTGGAGGCAGAGCTGGGCTTCGAGGCCAAGACTTGAACTCCAGAGCCGAGCTCTGCCCCTGCCCAGGATCGTCCTCTCAGACGCGGTCTCCCCGACAGCGGCCTGTTTGTTAAACACCAGCCGCCACAGGGCGTCCCTCGCAGGCCCCGGCTCTCTCGTTTCCCAGGACCCATTTCCCAGTCCCCGCTCTCCAGGGTGTCGGATTCCTGTGGGGAATCAGATCCAGCTGCTGCTTCCAGCTCAAACTCCTCATGTTTAGGAAGGAAGGAGGACATTGTCGTCCTGTCCCAGCCCCCCTTGCTCCCCGGGAAAGCTCCGCTTCCCCCCACTTTCTCCAGAACCTGCTGAGGTTGTGCCTCCTCAATGTGCAGCCTCCCTCAGCTCACTTCACACAAGACATTTCCCCCGACTCGCTCCCGCCTCCACGCCCAGCTGCCAGCGGCCGGCCGGGAAGGGGCTGCAGCGGACAGCACAGCGGAGCAGGGAGAGGACCCCAGGCACAGGGTTCAGGCCACCCGCCCGCCGACAGAATTTATCTTGAACGCGGATTTTATTTCATCTTACTTTTTAAAGTTTTTTGAAAAAGTACTATTTACATGAAGTAAAAAATGCAAATGGTGGAAAAGGACTTAGGATGGAATGTGTTTCTCTTCCAACCTCAGCCTCCAGTTCCTCCTCCCAGAGGTTGGCCCCGGCTCTGCCTCGGGCGGGGCGGAGAGGGAGGCCGCTGGAGCCGGCAGAGGCCTGAGGTGTGTCCTTGCAGAGTTTACATGTGTGCAGATGTGATGTTCACTTATCTCCACGTCAGCCTTCCATGCTCCCCATAACGTCACCACACTCAGCTGCTTTAAGCAGCACACATCTGCTGCCCCATCGTTTCTGGGGGCCAGGAGTCTGGGCACGGCCTCGCTGGGTCCCCGGCAGCAGCCACGGCGTGGCCAGGGCTGCGGTCTCGCCTGAGGCTCACAGGGAGGGATGGCTGCCAGGCTCCTGTGATGTTGGCAGCATCCGTGTGCCATGGGCTGTTGGGCCAAGGGCCTCAGGTCCTTGCTGGCCCTGGGCAGGAGGCCACCCTCCGTTCTTCCCTCGTGGCCTTCTCCCAGCCAGCCAGCAGGAGGGAGGGCGTCCCAGGGAGTCGGAATGATGGTCTCACATGATGTAATCACACACGTGTGGTCCCACACACCCATCACTTTTATACGTCCTGTCAGTGAGAAACAAGTCACAGTCCTGCCCACACTCAAGAGAAGGGACCCCACAAGGGCAAGATACAGGGGGGATCCTGAGGCCCTCAGAATCTGTCTGACACCATTTTTTTAGCACAACAGGCAGCAGACAACACCTTCTATTTCTCATCTTACCTTGTCCACTTAGCTACAGATCCTGGGAGTCTTCCCAGTGAGGGCTGGTGGGCGGGGCTGAGATTGGGGCCATGTGACTGGGCGGGGCTGAGGTTTGGGGCCATGTGACTGGGCTGGTGGGCAGGGCTGAGGTTTGGGGCCATGTGACTGGGCTGGCGGGCAGGGCTGAGGTTTGGGGCCATGTGACTGGGCTGGTGGGCAGGGCTGAGGTTTGGGGCCATGTGACTGGGCTGGGGGGCAGGGCTGAGGTTTGGGGCCATGTGACTGGGCTGGGGGGCAGGGCTGAGGTTTGGGGCCATGTGACTGGGCTGGGGGGCAGGGCTGAGGTTTGGGGCCATGTGACTGGGCTGGGGGGCAGGGCTGAGGTTTGGGGTTAAACAGGGGACCAGTTCACTGTCCCTCAGACCGTTGGAGGGCCGGACTATAGTTTAAAAAAACTATGAACAAATTCCTCTACACACTGCACATATCTTATTTTGAAGTAAAAAAACAAAATGGGAACAAATACAACATTTGTATTTGCATGTGGTCCGCGGGCTGTAGTTTGAGGACCCCTGTTCTAGAGAGCCCATGAGGGAGCGAGGGGCCGGTGACTCTGTGCTTAGGAAAGATCATTATGCTCCCTGCGTGCCAGGCCCTGTCCTAAGCGCTTCCCTGCTTAACCCATTTACTCCTCACAGCCACCCTGGGAGGCAGGCACTTTTATTATCCTCATTGCAGAAGAGGACATCGAGGACCAGAGAGGTTCTGTCACTAACCTAAGGTCACACAGCCCGAAAGTGACAGTAGGGACCCTTGCCCTCAACATACAGATGAAACTAACACTCAGAAAGGTTCATCAACTCTCCCCCGTCATGTCAGAGGGCTGGTCAGTGGGGGTGGGGGGGGCCGGTTTCCTGACCCCTCTCCCTCGAGTCCGGTCACAGCTATGGAGGTGCCAAACATGCCTGGGCTGGAGGAATGACCGAACACCAGGCTGCCGGCTCTTACTCACTGTGAGGTCAGCCACGGACGGCAGCCGAGTGCGAGTGGTACTGCTGCCCCCAGCTGTGCAGTAATGTCCTCCTTCCCTCCCCAGTTCCTCGTCAGCAATGTGACCTACATGGAGCCCACCCTCCGCTTCCCAGCCAGCACCCTGAGGCCCGGGGCCCTCTACAGCGCGCGGGTGCGGGCCTGGGCCCCGGACTACAACAGCCTGTGGAGCGAGTGGAGCCCCCGCGTCCAGTGGCTTCACGGTGAGTATCCGTGGTGAGTGCTGGGCAGTTAGAATCCTCCCCCACCTCACGCTGTGCCCAGGCACTGGCCCTGGCCGAGCATCTGGGCTTCCATCTGAGGACGCTGCCACGGCAGGTAACAGAGGAAGGACGGGCATGGTGCCCTGGCCCGGCGGGCAGGCGAGGCTGCAGTAACAGGCGCCCGCGCGGTCCGAGCTTTCACACATGGAAATGCGCTTCTTGCTGTGTAACAGTCCAGCGGGAGCTGTGCCGGTCTGTGGGCGGTCTTCCTCCCGTGGCTCCATTTCTCAGGACAGAGATGATTGACCTTGTGTGTCATGGTCCCTTCGGCAGTCAGGGAGGCCTGAGGACCCTTTCAGAATAATGTTTTTAAAGTTATAAAATAACGCACAGAGGGTTACAGGGGAAACTAGTTTTATTGAAATGCAGTTATAAAAATATCTTAAATATACTTGTGATCTGGAAATATATGCTCCTCTGTTAACACATTAGAAACAGGAGCGAGGGCACTTCTATAAACGCTGTCATTGGAAAGCGGATGAGGTAAGTGACATTTTGTGATCTGGCAGCCGCACTGTGTAGGAGAACAGCTGTGGTTTCTGTTGGCAGCTGAGTGACTGGTGCTGCTCTCACCGTGGTTCGCTCCCTCCATTCCTAATGGGAGGAAATGCAAGGTGTCAGAAGT